ATTTTAAGTACGTGCGTGCGTGCGTTCTCGTCGCGCACTCACTCGTGGAACTCGATTCGTCCCGAGGTCATGCAACGAGTTCACTGGGTTTCCAAGCTCTCCAGACGTGCGCTCTCGCAAGTCGAGCGTGGCGTAATGTACGCTCCTCCGAGCTTTCGTACGAAACGGAAATGGTAGGCTGCAATTATTGCAGTCGTTGGCTTTCCCGTCTGCGGCCGCGCCAGAGCGCGAGTGTATAACCGCCGGTCGATTAACTGCGACCTTCGCCGCAACGTTGATGCAAATAGACGGCGTACCCGCAACGGGGATTGCGCGCCTTCCCCTCGGATTTTCATGTCCTCTTCGTGCAAGCGGATAAGACTTGACTTTTCACTTGATGTGAAATTAATCGCTTTTTCAGGCCCTATGCGGATCCTGAAAATGATTGCAGCCTCGCGAACTGGAAAGTGATCAAGTACAACACACACACACACAAATTAAGCAACGAAAATTAGATAGAATTTTAAATGCCTCAGCGACTTTTTTCTCTCCCTGCAGTTTTAAGCAACTATCACACACATTTTGTTTCAATCAACTTGCCGAATAAAAGAATAATCGCGCCTTCTTTTGATTTAATGCGACACGCGTGATTCTTTAACACGTGGCAAATATTTCTTAGAAAAATGATCTCGCGTACTTCTTCGACATAGTCGAGATCTACAAGCTCGAGTTTCCTCATCCCTCTCCTTGGATCGTAACCCAACCGCATACAAGATTCGCCTCGCTCGAGAAGATTGACGAACGAAAGTATCACGCTGTAGCGGCGGCGGCGGCGGCCTATACGTGCGTTCCGCTTGCGTCATCGCGCAATTACGCGATCCCGCCGAGGATTTTAGCACGGACTAATTATTATCGAAGCGTATCCCGGTATCGATCGATATTAATTACCGCGCGCTTTCACCGGATGACCTTTGTAATCGGCTGTAATAGACGTTTCAGCGTAATTAATCATTGTCATCCGGGAAAAATGTAATTGCAACTGCCACAAGGCGCGCGATAATTGGTTTCGCCGCTCCACTCTCCTCTCTAATTCTCTCTCTCCCTCCCTCCGCGGAGGAGGGAATTTCTGGAGCACGCTGGAGCACAAGCGTGTTTACACTATGTGTCACGTTCACACTCGGCGCATTTATCCCGTCGTTCTCGACTGGTGGACGCAAAATTTTACATTAATACGACTAAGGCAAGGTAAAAAGTCACCCAAACAATTTAATGGGCAATCAATGCGCCTTTCCAAGGAGTACGGGCGGCGATAGGGATCACGCGTCCTTTCCCGTAACAGGATCTCGGACCCGAGTCGATCCCGCGTGCGGATATCATGCGCGGTGCACGCTCGCCGGATCTCGGAACACCGACGCGTGTTGCTCCATCGAGAAAAATTCACGAAACGCCGCCGTCCGGCCGAGAGACGTCGCGTCGTGAACAAACAAAGGTACGTTTATTCGCTCGCTCGTAAACGCCAGAAAGAGGATGAGAGAGAGAGAGAGAGAGGGAGAGAGAGAGAGAGACTGAGGGAGTTCCGCGGTCAATTATAAATTACCTCGAATTAAATCGATGGCCACCACCGGAGCGCTACGCGTCGGCAACGGAGGATCCGCGGCGACGGCGGACCTTGGCGAAAACTTTCTGCTTTTTACGATCGCGTATGCGCGAAATCTTTTACGGCGACGCGCGTAATTGCAATGTGGCAAGGGTGGTGATAAACAACGCTCATGCGAGAGCGCGTGTACGTTGCAGTGTACGTTCGGGCTGCATTGTAGACAGGGCGGGCTGCTCTCCCTCGCCTCCCTCGGTTTTCGCTCGCGCGCACCTTGGATTTATCGGCATGCTTAATTGCCGCCCGGGACGAAACTCAGCCTCGAAACACGGGCCTGCGTCTCTTTTGCCGACACGTACGAGTCACCTCGGCACGCCCGTACTCCGCATCGCGATCCCCCGCTTTCGACCGGCGTTAGACACTGCACACTTCGTCTCCTTGAAACTCCCTCATTAGCCACACACACACACACACACACCAAAAGCTCCACGCTAGATTATTCATTTAGCGCACCGACAGCCACGTTGATTCTCGTTTATTCTACAAGAGCTTGACCGATAATTGAATTACTGAAGATGCCACAAATAAATCTAATTCGCGTATACCTTTTACCTCGTTGAATTGCCTCAACCATTTTCAGACAAAATTTAGACAAAAAGAAAAGCTTCTTCGATGTGATAGGAAAGGACAAATGGCGTTCTCGGCAGAACATGAAAATTTTGATTAAAAAGAAGGATAAACCTTTCCAAAAAAAAGATATATGGCAACCCTAATAGTTAATGTTATGAAACATTTTAAATTGTAAAGACGTAGATATATAATTCTTAATTTTTATGTACAAACGCGCATTTCTCCCTGCATTTACGACTGCAATTTTCATGAACGAATCGACAAGTTTCGCGCGGATCAAATGAGAGATCGATGACAAAAGTGGCTTAATAAGGTAAGCAAGTGCTGCAAGTGTCACATGTCCCGACATTTCTGTCGCGTTTCGGTCCTTTTATATCCCGATGCCCTTCAAACGTCGCCGGCCCTGGTCCCTTCCGCTCGCCCAGATCTCTGTCTATCTGTCTCTCTCTCTCTTTCTCTCTCTCCCCGTCTCTGTCTCTCTTTCTCTCTTCTTTCGCCGTTCACCGTCTGCGCGCGGTTGGAGAATTACGAGCCTTCAGACTGATTATTAGGTCCCGAAGATTTAAGGCGGTGCTTTAAATACTTGGGCAGTAACATTGAACGAAATTCATTTCGTAATGAAAGAGCGTGCCGATATCGTCGTCCCGCTGTTTAACGTTCGCCCGCGCGGCCCATTGGGCCCGAAGACGTTAACCTACTAACTGACGGATTCTCTCTTCCTCTTTTTTTTTTTCTTTATTCGCTCGTGTCTGTAGACGCGACCGTGATCATCACGTTTTGCGGTATCGGATGTTACGGCCGAATTTATGACCTCGTTTCGCCCAAGACGAAGAGACGAAATTAACGGGCGCTCGGAGGAACACCCAGTTGCTCGTGTGGTCGACCCAGTTAGGAAACGTCGCGATTGATCCCGAGGTCGTTAAACAAATGAAAACGCTATGCGACAAATTCCAATTTAAAGTGCAAAGTAACGCAAAAACGGCATAGGAGAGTGAATACCATAATCGAGGATTCCTTTCTCGTAATGTGGCGCATGATATTTCCCGCAATAGATGTTTTTTCTTGCTCTAAAGAAAATCCTTTCAACGAATCGTAACAAAATTTCGCAAAATTTTGCAGTTTCATTAATTCCTTATATTCTGTACAAAGATAAAGATGAGAAGATTGATTACAGGCGGATTAATACACTTCGCTGAAATTATTACGAGCGCAAAGGGTTCAATAATATGCCTCGAGTCACCAAAAATGATCGAGTCACGTCTCGAGCAATCCTTGAGAAGAAGCGCAGTTTACGTTGGATTGCGAACGAGCACACGCCTCGCCGGGCCCTCCCTCGCCCTTTGTCCTCGGCCAAAGGAGTGTTTCACGAGCGTTACGGATTCGAGCGTCCGTCCGTCGGGAGGGAAGAACCGCGGTAGAGTAACTTATAATGAGCATAATAAATTACAGGTGTACAAATATAACGATCGCGGGCTCAATATCGATGCACTGTTTCCCAAACCGGTATGCACGCGGCGCGGTGCATCGCGATGCGGGTGGGGCGGCTCGGAGTGGCGTGGAGGCAGGTAGAAGGTGGGGAACATCGCGAGGAGATCCGCCGCATTCTGCGGCGCCAATTTGCATGACCGATGATCGGCCGCTACTATACGCTACTATACGCCGGTGACTAGGTGCATCATCATTACGCACTACCGCGATACGATCAAACTGTCGGTAATAACAGTCGCACGACCCCGCGCACGTACACCGAGAGCAGGGTCGCGTTTATTAAATTACGTCAAATTATTGGTACGCGTCGGGTATCCGGCCGTGCCTAAACATAGAACGGCTCGCCGGCCTGCCGGTTGTTTAACAGTGAGCGATCACGCTACTTTCCCAATTAGGGCCGCTAATTTTAGCGGGGAGCGTGTAATTGCCGCCGCGCGCGGGACCGAATTCGCCGTAATGCGTCCGAGGCGCGCTCTCTATCCCGCGGAGAAGCACGGCTTAATCATCGGTCAACGGTTAATGCGTATCCAGCGCGATATGGAATTAAGGTACGGTAATTAAGTAAGCCGCTCTGGTACGTATGTGTGCGTGCGCGTCCGCGCGCGTGCACGTGTCCGCGTGTCTCAATTAGAAAAATTGCCGAGACGAGACGCGCTTTTCCCGAGCGGCTCGAATGATCGAAGCGCGGCTCACGCGTGTCGCTGCTGTGACTCTCGCTCCAAGTTCAAGGTGTCCGAGTTATCGACGCGGCGCGCGACACATCCAATTAACGGGGTCGTAAAACGCCGGAATATAATTTCCATTTATCCCGTCGGCCGAGACCGCGCGTATATCGCGTTTTATTACCGACGCGGCGCGATAACTGTTCATTAGTCGTCGCCGGGACGATCGGAAAAGGTGCAGTCCATAAAGTGTCGCGCAGAATTTCCACGACGGCGTTGTTCGTCCTGAACTTCGGCCTAGGACACTTGAACGCCTATAGGCATACATCGACCGTCATAAACGTCAAACTTCTTAACTTCTTGGTCAAATTCCAAACGTGCAATCACGTCCGCATTTCGTTTCGCGGACCACTCGACGTGCGTCGTCGTGTAAAACACGAGCAAGAGTAGATTACCGACTTGGTAATGGGCGAGGCTCACTTTAGGACGCGATCCTTTGCGTTTAATTTTCCGTCGAGCCCAACCGGATCAGATTTAAATTTAAATAATAAAGAAATATTTTGCATTCTGTGTGGCAAAGTGCACGTATATACACACGAAACAATCTGAAAATAATGTTTAGAGAGGAATTATTTTGTACTTTGCAGATTCGACCGACGAAGGGCTGAAGAAGGCAAAGAGCGGTTCGGATGAGGAGCCGTGGATCTCCGACGTCGTTCGACTAATCAAAATCCGCAACGAGAGCTCAAGAAAAGACAGAGGGAGGGGAATATTTCCGCCGCGGCGGAACTGACTCCGCCATTCTCGCAGCGTTCATTCAATCGCGCCCGTGAAAGCCATTCAAAACTCGTCGTCCGACACATACGTCCACATGTATCCATGCTATACTCATACACGCACATCCATACAAATTCATTCATTCACACATCATACAACACACACACACACACACACATACACACACGCACGTACACGGTATGCATGAAGAATCCAAAAGCATCGCGCCAGATCAACGCCGCGTACTTCCTGTGATCGTCGATTAACGATAAGCGGAATAATCAAAAATAGCGACGCAGTGGAAGGGAATTACGTTCAGGTCAGGTACGAACAGACGAGAATTATTATAATATTCTTGTAAGAAAGGACAAGGCTCTGTGTTCTGAAGAGAGTCGCAACTGGTCGGCAGATACGACGAAGTCAGGCAGCGGCGATCGAGAAATCTCGTCAGAGTGCAAAGGTAGTGACAACAATCGGAATTTATCACACATGCGACGATTCGTGTGTGTTTCTTTGATACAAAAACGCGTCCGCGTGAGAAAAACCGCGTAAACAGTTTTCTCCGTTTACGAGACAGCCGTTATAAAAATCGGCTACGGTGAAAATTGATTTGCTTGTGCCGCTGCTTCGTCTTTGTGTCGTTGCGAAGGAAAGAAGGAAAGCTCTCCTCGATCTCCGCTTGCACGATATTCGATTGCGAGCACTGACGACTGAAAAGTATCGATAGCGACCGCTTTTATATTTTTGCATATTACTTTTTGCGGCAATCTTCTTGACGTTCGCGTTAAACGCGAGAAATTTGACGTCTCGAGAGCGAAGTACATTTCAAGTTGAAACGGAAACAAACGTTCGCTATCTCGACGAGAATGTTAGGGCACAGTACCGACACAGTTCTATCGATACTTTTCGGTTTCCGGTACGCATACAAGACACACCACCGTGGACACAAAACACGCAAGTCGCGACGAAGCCGCGTTTTGTTCCTTTTTCCTTCTTTCTTTCCACCGACAGTTGAGGTTGGGAACCGGAGAGTCGCAAAGGAAGAAGAAAAAGAAGAAGAAGAAGAAGAAGAAGAGCAAGAGGAGGAGGAGAGACGGTCGAATTTACACGCTGTGTAATCGCGCATTTGTCTCAAGAATTACACGTCTTGCGTACGCGTAAATCACGACATCGCCTCACGTACACGAGTAGTAGATTTTTCGTTTTTTTTTTTCATTTTTTTTCCAATAAAGAGACGCGCCGACGGCGGACCCATGGTGTCCGGTCGGCCGTGCGCAGTTAAGGATACGAATGCCATAATAATGACCAAGTTTTGTGGTTGTACTTAAGTCATACTTTATACTCTACTTTACTTGTTAAGTTACTAAGGATAAGTTACTTGATTATTCCATTATCAAAGTGTCCCTATCAGTTATCGCTACGTCCTTACTTTCGCGCCGTCCTGCATTGAGAATTGGCGCAGACTACGAGAGAGAATTTGAGAACACTGCCTACCTGCACTTGTGATCACATATATAACTCAAACTTAAGAGAATAAGCTGAGCGCTCACAGTTCGTATACCACCATCGTCGCCACACAATTGGGTATCCTACGAAGTGAGTCCAACGTGGACTTGTACTCTCGCGTATCGCAATAAAAAAAATGAAATTAATAGCGATTTCTACTTAATAAAAAAGATGTGGAAAATATATTTTTCTTATCGTCAGTATCCAGTCGGTCGGATGATTCGTCGGGCAAAATTGACGAGAGTCCTTTTTCTCTTTTTGTCTATTTGACAATGCAATAAAATCGCGATTACGAAAAATATAAGAAATATAAAGAAAATTAAAAATCTCGGTTTTCTCATGGAATATCTCGCGGAGAAAACTAAAGAGATAACTTTACAATTTCTACAATTCGAGCGCTCAATCAATTGCCCATTTTCATAAATATATCTCGGATTGTTTCACTTCTCAATTACCGGCATTGTGCTCGCGCGCCAACGAAGTAACTTCGGATACGCGACGAAATCTTTAGCCGTCACGTGTAAAATTCACGCATTTGTATTGTCCCTATGTTGAAGAAGCCATCAACGAAGTAACACGTCGTCCGTGACAATTGCGATCGCACGGATGACATGACGAACGAACTCTCATCGAAAGTCAGGTGCGAGACCGCCTTCCGGTCGATGGTCCTGACCAAAGGACGCGTTTGGACCTTGGTCTCATTTTTGTGATTATTATTTAAATACGCGTTAAGCAAACAATAGTATATTAGAATAGGCTCGTTATAATTGAGTATGAGTACCGTTGCACCGTAGTGCCGCGGTTGGCCTTTTATGGAGACGATATTGTTTCCCGTACGATTTCGGCGAATGCGCGACATTATCGCGAGATTATCGCATAACGTATCGAAAGATCCGTCATATACAGAATTGTGTAATTACATTTATACAAACCGTTTGTCCGAGAGTAAAGGAGTTTTCTTGTCCGACAATATTTGAGAAAGAGAGAAAAATCGAAATTTCCACAAGTGGCCTTCTTCTTCGCATAGTTCGAGGATGAGATCTGTCCGCGAAATCGTGCAGATCGTTTTCTTTTCTCCATTCCCTTTTTATCGCGAGCAACGTTTATCCGCGAACTTTCCGTGATTACGAGCCGAAACGCGCGAGGACTTTCAGTAATCGGAGAGAATACGTTCGTTACAATGAACTAGCTATTACGAATGTACAATAAGTTTTTTTTTTTAAGATTTACAGTACGAAGTATAGATTTTATCATCATAAATATTATATCGCGTAATGAATTTGCAGAAGGCACTCGGTCCCCTTTACGACGGAACTCTGTGTGTCATGAGCGCATGCCGAGCGCGCGCTCATTTCGCACGTTGACGTTCTCAGCGAGTGTAATTTTGCTATGATGACGAAGCGCCGAGGAGAGGAAGAAAGCTTCTTTTTTCCATTGAAGAACCGAGCAATGGCGATGTCGCGTCGTGCACATTGACAAGCGCTTTTTAGTAGTATGTGGGCGCGACTAGAATTAGTTTTCTAATTCTCTCGTGGGCATTTGAACGCGATCTCCGTGCGGGTAATCAGCCGTGCGGAATAATGCAGGATCTGGTCGTTTTATACGCGGTTCTTGCGGTGTTTGCGCCACGTCAAGCACAGCTGAAACGAACAGATCTCTCTTAGTCGTGGTACAGCGCGGCTGTGAACCGCGCGCACAATTCTGCTCGTCGATATATCGCCAAGACATCGTCGGCAACGTCCTCGCGGCGAAATACTCAGCGCGTAAGGGTCGAGGACCGTTGTGCCTTCGTATGTATGCACGTTAATACGTCTAATGAACGTAAGAAAGGTAAGACATCCATTTTGTGATTCCGTAAGCAGTTGTTCAGTTTTTTTATACTTTCCTTAATGCTTATCATAGGATAGCTTGTATACCCTAAAGAGTGTTTCAATAAAAATCACAATGGAATAAACCCTACCCTCCGCGTTACGATCCACACCCACCCCAGTTGTTCGTCGTCTATCTTTTTGCGAGAAAAGAAAAAGTTCTCCTCTGTTGTAGGCCATATGGCTTAAGAATATCTTTTACTAACTTGTAATTTATTCAATTAACAGAAATTATATGTTGGTAAGAGATATCTCGATTGTACTATTATCGTTTATTACGCGAATCCCTGTGCCAGCGATTCGTAATAGTGTGCCTGAACGGAGGAATTTCTAAGTAATTAGAAAATATAAAAAAAAAACATGATAAGAAACAGTTTTTTATTCAGTTTTATAAGGAAACATTTGTAAGTATTCATCACCGATTTTTATCAGCTTTGATATATTATAGAATAATTAAAAATAAGAAACATACATGTGTTTTCCTTCACATGTATCTACTAGTACATTCAGGGATTGTAACAATTCTCTTTGAAAATAATTCGCTAATATTGATTGTAGCGAATATTTTTGAAATCATGAAGTATATAAGGAAAGAAAATGTATTATGAAAAAACTAACATAAAAAAATATTTTATCTAAACTATTTTTTATAACATATCTCAGGTTTTCCGAATTCAAGGTGAGGATATTTACAAATGAATTCTTTATACACTCGATATAAATTTTAATATTCATTGAAGAGACAATCTACATCATTAGTTTCATCATTATTATTCTTTCTTATCACAAATCATTGTCATCAACATTGTCATCATTGTCATTCTTATTACCATTGTAATATGTAACTCTATACTCAATAAAGACTTTTCTATTATTCAAAAACAAATTCATATATTTATTATTATTTCTGTCTACCTAAATTCAGCAAATCGAATTAAAATTTTGTCGAAAATTCTCTTAGCTGAAATTCAAACCATTTTCAATTTCTTTAGCTAAGATTCGAACCGAAATGATTTGAGTCTCCGCTAAATAATTCAAAAGTGGTTTGAGTCTCAGCTAAACCGAAATTCAACAATTTTGTTTAAAATTTTGCCGAAAATCCCTTTAACCGAGACTCAAACCATTTTAAATTTCTTTATTCAAGATAGTTTGAATTGCTGAGAAAAAATATTTTAAGTCTTGACTAAATCATTTTGTGCGATTTTTGTAAAAAGTTGTTAAAGTTTGATTTAGCCGAGACTATTTTAAATTTGTTTAACTGGGATGCGAATAAAAATTATTCAACATTATAACATTATATCAAATTATTGAACATTATAACAAATTATATTACAATATTACATTAGTAGGAGATGGATACTTTTTAGATATTTGCTATAAAATGTTATGTCTTATGCAGAAATATGCGGATGGGAAGAGAAAAATGAATTGGAAAAAATTATGATTGATTATATAAGATGGTTATTTAGTTTAGATTTTTGTATATTAAAGTATGTGATAAAAAAGAAATTTAAAATAGATAAGTTAAGGATTGTGTGAGAGATAAGAAAGGTGATATATATATATATATATATATATATATATATATATATATATA